TGTGCTTGTTTTTGTGCGCTTGTGTATGTGTGTTTGTGTATAAATGTGTTGTGCTTGCTTTTGTGCGCTTGTGTATGTGTGTTTGTGTATAAATGTGTTGTGCTTGTTTTTGTGTGCTTGTGTATGTGTGTTTGTGTATAAATGTGTTGTGCTTGCTTTTGTGCGCTTGTGTATGTGTGTTTGTGTATAAATGTGTTGTGCTTGTTTTTGTGTGCTTGTGTATGTGTGTTTGTGTATAAATGTGTTGTGCTTGCTTTTGTGCGCTTGTGTATGTGTGTTTGTGTATAAATGTGTTGTGCTTGTTTTTGTGTGCTTGTGTATGTGTGTTTGTGTATAAATGTGTTGTGCTTGTGTACGTGTGTTTGTGTATAAATGTGTTTGCGTTTGTGATGGATTTATGTACAGTACTCGTGAGTGTGTTGGTGTGTGTGTGTGTGTGTGTGTGTGTGTGTGTGTGTGGGCTTACAGTGTGGTCAGCTGGCTCATGTTGGTGAAAGACGTGTTGGTCAAGGAGCTGATTTTGTTGTTGCTCAAGTCGCTGGAATGAAGCACAAATAAACCAGTTCCAATAAGTCAGACATCGATGAATAATAACACACACTGGAGGGCTGGTGTCCCTGCTGGGTTTAGCTCTAACTTGCCTCAACACACCTGTCTGGATGTTTCAAGTATACTTAGTAAGACCTCGATTAGCTTGTTCAGGTGTGTTTGATTAGAGTTGGAGCTAAAGTCTGCAGGGCACTGGCCCTCCAGGAACAAGTTTGGTGACCCCACTGCTGAAAAATCCAGCTTAAACCAGCCTAGGCTGGTTGGCTGGTTTTAGCTGGTCGACCAGGCTGGTTTTAGAGGGGTTTTGGCCACTTCCAGGCTGGTGTCCAGCCCTTTCCAGCCTGGTCTTAGCTGATCAGGCTGGGAGATGACCAGCTAAAACCAGCTTGACCAGCCTAGCCAAGCTGGGAGTCCAGCCAAAACCAGCTATATCCAGCTTAAACCAGTCTGGTCAAGCTGGTTTTAGCTGGATTTAGCTGGTCATTTTCCAGCCAAAAAACAGGCTGGAAATGGCTGGAAACCAGCATGGATATGGCCAAAACCCCTCTAAAACCAGACTGGTCAACCAGCCAACCAGCCTAGGCTGGTTTAAGCTGGATTTTTCAGCAGGGCCATGCTTTAGTCGCTGTGGGTACTATCATACATCTGGTGCAATAGGTTGAAAGATGTGTTTGGCGTGATTTTCAGACCAACGCAACCCTATTTTTCATGTTTTGCACCACCTTATTTAAATAGGCAATCCATTTGCGCTGCTTTGTGGACTCATGAGTGTGCTGGTCTATAAAGGAGGTGTGTTAAGGCGCATTGTTGGTGCGTTTCTATTTTTAGGAACTAAAATAGACTTTTTTTTATCATTTTAGTTTTATTATATATATTTTTTATTATATTTATTATATTTTATTTTTAATTAATGTTTTATAACTATTTTATCACATTTTTTAATCTGTTTTATTTATTTTTTTTTATACTTTTTATTATCTCGTTTATTCCTGTTTATGTAAAGCACTTTGAATTGCCACTGTGTATGAAGTGTGCTATATAAATAGCCTTGCCTTGCCTCATGTTCACACAGCTACATTACACATCAACTAAAGTTTAAAACATGATATCGTAGTGGACCACCACTTTACTGGTGAATGAGCGCACAGTGTTCGACACTCACAGCAGCTGCAGTTGTCTGAAGGCCGAGAGCTCTTGAGGAATCGACACAAACACGTTTCCATCCAGATATCTGCAAGATAAAGAGACGATTTATAAACATCCTGAATGCAGGGCAGATAAGACACCAAGAGTCCTGTTAACACTCACAGCTCGGTGACGTTGAGTGGGACGCCGCGGGGGAGAGCGGACAGGTGTTTATTACTACAGCGCACCACTGAATCCACACATGTGCACTGCTCGGGACACTGCGGCTTCGGGATGCAGCTTACATCCTGCTCCAGCACATCTGAAACACAACAACAATCTTTATGTTTGTTTGTATTTATTATTATTATTATTATTATTATTATTATTATTATGTATTATTAGCCCCCCTTTGATTTTTTTTACTTTTTAAATTTTTTTTCAAACTATGTTAAACAGAGCAAGAACATTTTCACAGTATGTCTGATAATATTTTTTCTTCTGGAGAAAGTCTTATTTATTTATTTATTTTTTATGGCCAGAAAAAAAGCAGTTTTTAGTTTTTTAAACACCATTTTAAGGTCAAAATTATTAGCACTTTTGAGCTTTCTTTTCTTTTTTTATAGTCTACAGAACAAACCATCGTTATGATCGTTAAAATAACACTGCCATTGTTATTTTAAATGTCTCTCGGAACCAGTTGGGTATGTTTGCTGGAAAGATTCAGCGAGGGATAGTTGCTATTTGGAGGACTTTATTGCCTTCTCTTCTATCCTGCCTTCAGACAGTGATATTGCTGGGTGATGGCGCTGCAGATGTGCAGTCATGGTTATACGTGTAAAACAATGCTTGCACACAGTTATTTTTTGTTCACCGTTTTTTTCTTTTATTTGTCATTATACAAAACCGAAATGTCCTCACACCGCAGATTTGAAAGACGCCGGCGCTTCCTTGTACTGTTAACTACCGCTCGCAATGTTAAAGGGCCATGAAACCCCCTCGTTTCAGCAGGGTGTTTTCACACCTCTACTTTGGAAAAAGTCAGCAAAGTGGGCGTGTCCAGCTCTGTTTAGGGGGGAGTGTCGGAGGAAGTAAAGTGGGAGGGTGTGGGAGTGTCTATTTGGGTACGCGCGAGTTTCAGAGTCAAAATACACACCTACATACCTACAAAATACCTACATGGACATCTGTAGTCAAATTATTTGCCAAATTATTAAATGGTGGACTTTAACTGCAGTTTGGCTCTTTCATTTAGGGAATTCATTCATGCCCCTCGCGACAAACGAGATATTTGATTCGAGGAACTGCTCTAAGTGTGTATTTTTCATGCAATGTTTAATACCGCACGGCGAATGAGAGAAAAAAAACTCTGCATTTCCCGTAAACTTAGATGCACTCGGCAGGTAGCGTCATAAAGCCGCGTGTTTTATCTCGGTGCAATAGTTAACTTAGTTCGATACGAACAAACTGAATAAACAAAGAGCACTGGTCGCTCACTTACCAAATCTGTAGAGACAGGACAATCACCAGCAACTAGAGCCGCGTCTTTATTAAGAGAAGACTACAAGCGAATCTGGATCTCAGCGTTTGCAGATGAGAACAGCTCTCAGGTAAACAATGATCCTCCTTAGACACGTAAGTTATTGTTGTCGAGCGTCGCGTACACTGTTAATCCACACGTGACGCCAGCTGCGCTCTCACAGAGAGAAAAAGAAAACGAAACTTAACGGCAGCAAACTATAAAAGCAACAGTTCACGCTTGTTTTGCCAACACAACGTGGTGTCTCTGTCGTCTAAACACTCTGACAGTAATGAATATTAATGAAGTTGCACAATAGAGCGCGCTGATTGGTTTGAACCAAGCCTTACTCATGCATTCATGCATCACACTGTAAGACGTAATAAGACACACTCTGGCTCAGACGTCCAGTCTGCACGCTGGAATACACGCTATTATGTCATGACCGTGACGCAGCTTCAAAAATTCGTTTCAAACCGGAAGTACGAATTTGCTTGAAATAACGCAAAAACAACCAATTTACACTTTTTAGTGAAATACAGGTGTCCTAATAGTGTTTTTAGCAGTGTGGGACACATATACGACTGTCAACAGCTCAAAAAATGTGTTTTGGTGTTTCGTGACCCTTTAAAGTGTGGAATGATGGTCAAGCACCCCCTAACTTTAGAGCATAGTGATTGGATATTTACTCGCTGGGAGGAGTTTCCTCATCTCAGCTCATGGACTTACAGGCACAAACAGTCAATTCGGGGAGATATAAAACGCACATAAATTATTTAAACGCAAAACTGAGAAAACCGCAATTCACAAGCACGTATTGAACCGTGGAGGTCGTACCGTATGGTTTAATATTATATTGAGAACCGTGGCATTCCTAATATATATATATATATATATATATATATATATATATATATATATATATATATATATATATATAAATTATCCACACCAATTTTTTTTTTTTAATTTCAGACAGCACTCAGGTTTTTGCATCTGAACTCTTCGTATGTTTCTGCTTTTCAAGTCTGGAGACTAAAACTGGAACCCATGTAGTGCACCTTTGTCACAGATGAAGTCCGGCTTGGCTACATCCTGCAGTGGGATTTCTCGAAGAAAAGCTGGATTCTGACAGCGAGGGTTTCCTGTCACGATCTGCCGAGACCTGAGCCATTCTCCCAGCCAGGACAGACGACAGTCACAGCTAAACGGGTTCGCCAGCAGGTTTCTGAAAACACATTCAACAGAGTTGCACAATTTTCATGAAATTTTGACTTTATTCTGCAATGTAGAAGTAAAAACTTGTCCTTTGTGATTGTTTTAGTACTTCAGATTCAATTGCCTATGGGAGAAATGACAATGAATAATAAACAGCAAAAAACAATCAAACTATTTGCTCTACAAACAAGTGTGTTCATGATTACACATGAAAAGTAACATAATTTTATTAGACAAGATCAGTTTGCAACATCAAGCAGCATAGCAAGCTGTTTTTAACATCTAATAATCAATAGAAGTGAATACGATGAGAATGCTTGAGCCAAAATGGCGGTGCCCGCTGATAGGTGAAGAACAAGGTCAATACTTTTAATAAAAGTGTGAGCAGATATTTACAGGGTGGAGAGGTTTGGCAGCGAGTCGAAGGCTCCGGGCATGATGGTGGTGAGCTGGTTATCGTAGAGTGACAGCAGACGCACGTTCTGCAGGCCTGAGAAGCTGCTGTTGTGGACACAACGGATGTGATTGTTCCTGAGCATCCTAACAATGAGAGAAAAAGACTTCAGGGCCGAGACTAAAAGAGAAAGAATGAAAACAAGTGATAACTTCAATTGTTATATGGCTGTCTGGCATACTTGATTCTGATTGGTCAATCGCAACCTTATAAGGTATGTTATTCCACGATAACAACCGCTGAAAATAATAACACAGGCTTATTAGGGTACAACCAGTCATCAGTACTTTTTCGTGAATATGTTTACATCCATATACTGTATATTTAATTGTCCTTCTCGCCACTGTTTTTGACAGTTTAGTGCCATCTTGTGATTGAATAATGCGCAGGTTCGTGTACACTCCATTCAGCCACCTTCATTTCTGTTCGCTTTTCCTTTAATCAAAGAGTTAATAAGCTATTACAACTCAGAACAATTTTTTGTATCTAATTCTATGTTTTGTGACAAGTAGCCATCTAATAATCGGGATAAAGTACATTCAGGAGGTTGTTTTCACAGAATAAAGCTCTTCAGTTTTATACAACAGTGCTCTGCTTTGATTCAGGCTGCTGATAAACCAGACCAGTTTTATTCTGTGATAACAACCTTCTGGATATGCTTCATCCTTAACTTATTCTGAAGTAAAATGGACAGCCTAAATAGAAATATATTAACATTCTGGGCTGCTGTCGGTCAACCAATGAATAAATCAACCCATTGATAAACCTACTACTCAACCAACCAATCAACCATGTTAAATATAAACAGTGGTGTAACATAGGTCAGGAAAAAAAGCATTAACATACTTTGGGTTACACAGAAACCAACCAACCCTATGGTGAACTATCCAACAACTTTAACAATTATTCAACCAAACTGTTAAATAACCAATCAGTCATCAAACCAATTTAAGGGGTCAATCAATCAATCAATACATCCATCCATCCATCCATCCAGCAAGCGACCAATCCATCTATCCATCCATCCATCCATAAAATTAATCAAAACAACAACCAACCAACCAGACGTTGAACTAACCAACTTCAACAACTAACCAACCAAAAAGTTGACTAACTAATTAGTCAGCAAACTAATCAATGGATCATTCAATGAATCAATCAATTAATAAAGCAAGCAATCCATCCTTCTATCCATCCAACCAACCAACTAACCAACCAACCTACCCGATGTTGAACTATCCAACAACTCCAACAATTAACCAATCAAACACTTAACTAACCAATCAGTCTGCAAACCAATCAATGGGTCAATCAATCAATCAATCAATCAATCAATCAATCAATCAATCAATCAATCAATCAATCAATCAATCCAACCAGCCAATCCATCCATTCGTGCATCCATCCATCCATCAAGCAACCAACCAACCAACCGATTGATTGATTGATTGATTGATTGATTGATTGATTGATTGATTGATTGATTGATTGATTGATTGATTGATTGATTGATTGATTGATTGATTGATTGATTGATTGATTCATTCATTCATTCATTCATTTGTTCGTTCGTTCATTTATTCATTCATTCATCCATCCATCCATCCATCCATCCATGCATCAAATCAATCAAATCAAAGCAACCAACAAACTAACCAATCAATCAACCTACCAGATGTTGAACTATCCAACAACTCCAATAATTTACCAATCAAACAGTTAACTAACTAATCAGTCAGCTAACCAATCAATCAGTCAATCAATGCATCCATCCATCCATCCACCCATCACATCAAAGCAACACCCAATCAACCAAACAACTAACCAACCAACCAACTAACCAAACGTTAAACTAACCAACTTCAACAATTAACCAACCAAACAGTTAACTAACTAATTAGTCAGCAAATCCATCTATCCATCCATCCAATCAACCAAGCAACCTACCCAACGTTAAACTATCCAAAAACTCTAACCAATAACCAACCAAACAGTTAACTAATCAATCAGTCAGCAAATCAATCAACGGATCAATCAATCAATCCATCCATCCATCCATCCATCCAACATCTATCCATCCATGCAGCAAGCAGCAAACCAACCAATCCATCAAATCAATCAATCAATCAATCAATCAATCAATCCTCCAGTAATTGACCAATCCATCCATCCATTCATGCATCAAATCAACCAACCAACCAACCAGTCGTTGAACCAAACAACTGCAACAATTAACCAACTAAAGAGTTAACTATCTAATTAGTTAACAAACCAATCAATGGATCAATCAAGCAAGCAAGCAAGCAATGCATAAATCCATCCATCCATTCATCCAACTAACCAATCTGTGAACTAACATTGAACTAACCAACAACCCCAACAATTAACCAACCAAACCCATAACTAACCAATCAGTCAGCAAACCAATCAATGGGTCAATGAATCATCTGCTAATATGGAAATGAAATGACAATGAAAAACAATATTGTGGCAGAAAGGAGACACTTGCAGCATGCGTAATCCGTCCATTCCCCGAAACATTCCTCCTCTCACAGACACCAGGAGGTTTGCAGTCAGGTGAAGCTCAACCACAGAAGACGCTCCGTCGAAAGCTCCGTCCTCAATCTCAGTGATCTTATTGTTGCTAAGATTTCTGCGAGAGAAATGCAGACACAAACACAACGTCATATATGCATTAAGACTTATTTATTTGTGTTACATAGTATATAAATGCAAATCTCACATTTTCTTGAGATGTGTGAGGGGCCGGAAGAGTCCTGTTGCCTCCAGGATAGACAGGTCGTTGTTATTGAGACGTCTGAAACAAAGAGCTAACAATGTAATATCGGTAAAAACACACAATGTACATTTTAGTTTAAATTCTTCAAATTAAACCCCTAAAGAGGCAGAGAAGCTCTAATGAGGTAGTCAAAAACATAAAATGTTAAAAGTAAAACATTAAAAATGTCAAATCGGAGTTTGGGGATTCCAAATTGTGGCGGTGGTTGGTGTGTCATGTACGAAAATGAAGACTGGGGGAGGGGGTTACGGACGTAATTGAAGAGCAGGGAGAGATTGATAGGGCCCTGAGAGTTACTATTATCAAAAACTACCTGGGCCCTTACCATCATCCTAATTCTCTGACCACCACCACCCACCCCCTGCCCCACAGTGGCACCCATGCATCTTGGTATTTTTTTTTACGAAATTTTATAAAATGCGCATAAAAATAGGTGGATGTAAACACAGCTATTTGCACAAACTACGTCCAAACTAATTGTTATTAAACTTCACAGCCACCAATATTAAAAAACAAGACTTGTAATAAAACTGGGCGAAGATTAGATACTAAGGGTGCTTTCACACCTGTGAATCGATTCAGTTGTTCCGAAACAGAGATTACAAATGTTACATTGTTGCTCTTTCCTCTTGGAGTAGTTCGCTTTCACACTGCAAATTTTCTAATCGGACCAAAAGAGCTGAAACAAGTCACGTGCGAGTAAACTTTCCACACATTGGTCAGAGTGTCAGGGTTTATTTTGCAGCGTCCCGCTCAGCTGTCAGGAGAGGTGGTGGTTTGGTGGTGATTGACAAGGTGCGCACGACGTGACGTGTCTGAGGAGAGATGCGGTGGGGAGGAGTAAGAAGGGATGCCTATTTGAGGACCGGGAGGGAGACGCGAGATTACTGGGAGATCATCACTAGTTTGCGGGCATCCGGAGACTCGCGAAACTTCCCGCCCTACTCATAATTCTCACTTCATAAGGCCGTATGCCTATTACATATCCATAAAACACTTTGATATAACCTCGCTCGGATTGGATCGCTTTCTCACTGCAATCGAACCGCTCCAGGGTTCGTTTCAATAGAGCCGAGACCACCTCACTCAGGTGGTCTCGGAGCGATTACTTTGGCGCGGAACAGAGCGCGATTGCCCTGTTCACATATGCCAAACGAACCGCGCAAACTGGGCAAACGAGATACGTTCCGAAACAAAAGTGTAAGTGTGAAAGCACACTAAGAATCGGATACTTGTTATATAATTTACATTTTTATAACACTACCTACTCTGCCACTGCTTCGCCTGGCTTAATCTTTATCCTGTAAAATATCGTTATCGTGATAATAATACGATTAATCATGCAGCCCAAGGTTTACAAGTAAATGGTGCTATAGCTTTAAAAAATGCATGATTTGTGTGGCAAATCATCTCAAATATTTCTAACAAAATGTGTATTTTCAGCACTAAATTATATTATATTTTTAATTATATTATATATATAAATTATATTATATCTTTATAACTAACTGTAATTAAATTACCTAAGCAATGCCTTAAGTAAATTTTTCCAGTGGTAAAGTAATCTAACTACAGTAACTAAGTACTTTGTAACTAATTACACCCAGCACTGGTTTTATTAGTGTGAATATCCTCTTACAGTTCAGTTGTAGAAAGCGGAAGGTGCTCGGGGAACTTGGTCAGCCGCAAATTGGAGCAGTCCACCACGGTAGCTTCACAGCGGCATTTGGGTGGACAAACAGGCTTGCTGTTGCAGTCCTTATTCATTCGTGTGTCCTCTGAGCCTGAGACAGAAAACCAGCATCATTCACAGCACAGCATAAATTATATAACACTTCTAGTCCAAGTTCTTGGAGATACTTAACAGCCTGAATTAACTTACCTGGGATGTAATACTGCTCCTTGGCTGCTATGGCAACGCATGTAAGAAATCAGAAGAAAATACAGCTGCTATGAAAGTGTAGATATATATAGAGCCAGCAAAGATGTAGATCTGAGAGCTATGGCTGGACTTATAGAGAACAAACACAAAGGTGTTTTCTATTATACTGACATTTGTACAATGGTTGCCTTGAATCTGATGGTTGATCAATCTAAATGTCCATTTACTCTTTCTGCTGTCTAATAAGTAACTGCGCTAATAAGTGATTCATCACCTCATATTCTCAACAATTTGTTCAACAACAATAGTTTATTCAGGATGAAAAAAATAAGTGACTGTTTTGATTCAGTTGAGTCATTCAAGAATCAAATGAGTGGTTATCGATGAGTCAGAGAATCATCTACTTAACTTATACAAAAATACTGATTCATTCAAGATTTAAATGAGTGATTGTTTATATGAGTGAGTCACTGAATCATCTATTTAATTTGTTCAAAAATACTGGTTCATTCAAGAGTGTAATACAGTAAATGACTGGCCAAATGAACAAACAACTGAATCAATTACTTAACTGACAGCACTGATTCAATCCGGAATGAAATGACTGATGTCTATGAGGGAGTCACTGAATCATCTTTTTACACCGATTCATTTTGGAATGATATGACTGATTGTTTATGAGGGAGTCATTTAATCATCTTTTACACTGATTCATTCAGGAATGAAATTACTGATTTTCTATGAGGGAGTCACTGAATCATCTTTTACACTGATTCATTCAGGAGTGAAATGACTGATTGTCTACGAGGCAGTCACTGAATCATCTTTTTACACTGATTCATTCAGGAATGAAATGACTGATTGTCTATGTGGGAGTTACTGAATAATTGTTCAGTGACAAAAAAAAGCCTGTGCATGGACTTTTAGCTGGTCAATGGTGACCTCTATTTCGTTATGAATCAAGTTTTGAATTTATGAATTGTATTTGCGCATTTATGAATAGTGTTTAGAAGTTATGAATTGGATTTGTGTATTTATAAATTGTTTCGAATTTATAAATTGTGTTTTGAATTTTCGAATTATGTTTTGCATATTTTAAAATTTTGTTTGGAATTTACAAATTGTGTTTTCCATATTCATAAATTGTGTTTTGAATTTACAAATTGTGTTTTGCATATTTATAAATTGTGTTTGGAATTTTCAAATTGTGTTTTGCATATTTATAAATTGTGTTTGGAATTTTCGAATTATGTTTTGCATATTTTTAAATTGTGTTTTGAATTTTCAAATTATGTTTTGCATATTTTTAAATTGTGTTTGGAATTTTCAAATTATGTTTTGCATATTTTTAAATTGTGTTTGGAATTTTCAAATTATGTTTTGCATATTTTTAAATTGTGTTTTGAATTTTCAAATTATGTTTTGCATATTTTTAAATTGTGTTTGGAATTTTCAAATTATGTTTTGCATATTTTTAAATTGTGTTTGGAATTTTCAAATTGTGTTTTGCATAATAATAAATTGTGTTTTGAATTTTCAAATTATGTTTTGCATATTTATAAATTGTGTTTGGAATTTTCGAATTATGTTTTGCATATTTTTAAACTTTGTTTTGAATTTACAAATTGTGTTTTGCATATTTATAAATTGTGTTTTGAATTTACAAATTGTGTTTTGCATATTTATAAATTGTGTTTTGAATTTACAAATTGTGTTTTGCATATTCATAAATTGTGTTTGGAATTTTCGAATTATGTTTTGCATATTTTTAAATTGTGTTTTGAATTTTCAAATTGGATTTGCGTATTGACAAATCGTGTTTTGAAGTTATGAATTGGATTTGTGTATTTATGAATTGTTTTTAGTGCATTTATGAATTTTGTTTTGAATTTACGAATTGCATTTGCGTATTTATGAGTTGTGTTTTGAATATAAGAATACAAATTTTGAAATGTGAACTGTGTGTGAGTTTTATTTTATAAATATATTATTTTTCTGACTGATCAGGCCCCATACAATCCAGCCCAATCTCTTGAGGAAACAAGAAAAAATGTAGTATTGTCAGAAAAGTGGCCTAACCCTAGCCCTAACCCTAACTAAATTTATACTATTTTACTGTGTTATTTTACTGTAGAGTCTTGATGAAACTGTATGAATAATAAATTTAGATTTTAAAAGGAGGCGTGTCCCCAAACCCCACCCCTTACCATATGAGAGCAACATACTACAATATACAAATGAGATTGTACAAATAAATACAAATACAAAAAAAAGTTACACATTTCTGTGAGATTGTTGGTCCCGTTTATTATCCCTAATGTGTAGATAAATGCAAATTATTTATTCAAATGCAAGTGTGTTTGTGTACTTAATTACCCGAACAGCGGAACTTCTTGCTCTTGATCTGACTGATGCGCTTGTTAGCGAGCCGTCGAGGACTGGAGCACCGCGCGCCGCTGGTCTCAATCGGGTTTGACCTCAGAAAATCTGCCAGCCACTTCAAACCACAATCACAGACGAACGGATTCTGGGCCAAATGACTAGAAACGAAAAAAGCCAACAATGAAAAGTCTCAATTTCCCAGTTAGTGCCCTTATCAGTGTGCATTATATAAAATCTCTTACAGAGTCTGGATGGATTTCAGCGGCGCGAATGTGCCTTTCGCAAGAGTCTGGATCTTATTGTCATAGAGGGACAATAGAGATAAGTTCTCCAGGTCCTGGAAGACGTTGACACGGACACAGTGGATTTTATTGGCGTTTAGTAGTCTGAAAAAGAAAAACACAGACACTTCAGACATTCCAATGACTGTCTGGATGACGCACAGACCATTAAGCAATGCCGCGGTGACATTTTTCATGTGTGGGTGGTAATTTAGCATTGACATTAGCATCGGAGGTGATCTACATCAGTACTTACAGTAACTCTAATGCACTCAGTCCGTCAAAAACACCCCGCGGCAGATCTGTAATCTTATTTCCATAAAGAACCCTGTGAAGGGAAACACAGATGTATATTGGCGCTGATAAATTGTTTTAATTCATACCAAGTCTCCAGGCCTTGTTCAAAATTGACCCTTCAGACACAAGCTTTTACAGTAGATCATTTTTTTAATGCTAATGCCTCAAAACGCAACACTTCCACACAGAGCCCATTAAGTTTAACTATATATATATATATCCTCCTAAGACCCCACCCATTGACTTGTGTCCTTTGTAGTTGACATTACGTTTTCATCAATTTTCTTTGAATTTTTTGAGCTACTCTGTCAAGTCCTGTTGTACTGTTCAGAGGACATCCTGGGCTTTCTAGTGATTTGTCATTTGATTGGCTGGCATGCTAGGAAACACTTCTTACACTGTATCCAAAATGGCCGACATACAAAAAAGCGCAGTTTATTGGAAGGAGTGAGGCATGTAAAATTGAGCTTTTTAAATGTTTTTTTTTACTGTTATTATTACATATATATTTGTTTATTAAAGTGTCAAGAACAATACATTTAGCTTTGAAAGCTGTTAACTTGTTTGTGTTTCAAAACATCATCATTTTTGAAATGTCCACTATAGTGGACACCAGGACCATCTTGATGTAATTAATGACTGCATGTTGTAGGATTCTTTATAAGATAGTTGAGGGAGACTCTGATTTAGAGAGAATTAGAGAATGAAAATCAGTTTTAAATCGCTTCTATGGTAAATTTGTTTTGGATTAACATCATCTTTTTTTTTGTTTTTGTTGAGTTTTTTTGAGTTCGGCTCTCTTTCAGACTAAATTGTTTTAGGAATTATAAAACAAAAGGAAAATTGGCTTTTGTTTAGTTTTTGTTACATTAATATTGGATTATTATCCCTTTACAGCCATATCCTGTACAGTTTTGTTGTCTGAAGGGTGGCCGTTTTGAACTAAAATGGTCCTGTGGTCCACTACAGTGGACATGCTAAATTAAAAATAAAAACAAAATGTAAAAACTCTAAATTGTAGACTTTTTTTAACCCAAAGAATGTAGGAAATCACAAAAAAAAAGAAAATTTTTTAGATAAAATTAACAAATTAACACTTAAAGTATATATGGGACCATTATAAATAGTGGTTAAAAATAAGTGTTAAAATAACACTTTTGAACATTATCAACACTTAGAGAGTGTTAATTAGCAAACTCTTATAGTGTAAAATATCTGTTAAATTTATGGGAAAAAAACAGCAGCTGTGGTTGCCAGTAATCTACTGTTTTTAACTTTTTACATTCATAAATTTCATAAATTCAGTTTACAGAATATTTCTGTTAAAAATACATTCCACAGTCTGTATGTTTCATTGAACAGTCATATATATATATATATATATATATATATATATATATATATATATATATATATATATATATATATATATATATATATATACAGTACAGACCAAAAGAAGTTTGGACACTCCTTATTCAAAGACTTTTCTTTATTTTGACAATGAAAATTGTAGATTCACACTAAAGGCATCAAAACTATCAATTAACATGTGGAATTATATACGTGACAAAAAAAGTGTGAAATAACTGAAATTATGTCATATTCTAGCTTCTTCAAAGTAGCCACCATTTGCTTTGATTTCTGCTTTGCACACTCTTGACATTCTCTTAAAGAGCTTCAAGGGGTAGTCACCTGAAATACCTTTCACTTCACATGTGTGCCAACAAGCAGAAAAGACTCGTTTGGGTTAAAAAAAAAACACAAGGAATGGACATTAGACCAGTGGAAATCTGTGCCTTGGTGCTCTGTGCTTTTGGTTGGCTCATCTTCTACTGTCCAGGTTTGGAGCCTGTGTGAATCGTAGCCTCAGTTTTCTGTTCTTAGCTAACAGGAGCGGCACCCGGTGTGGTCTTCTGCTGCTGTAGCCCATCCACCTCAGGGTTGGACATGTTGTGTGTTCAGAGATGCTCTTCTGCAGACCTCGATTGTAGCGAGTGCTTATTTGAGTTCCTGTTACCTTTCTATCAGCTGGAACCAGTCTGGCCATTCTCCTCTGACCTCTGGCATCAACAAGGTATTTGCGCCCACAGAACTGCCACTCACTGGATATTTCCTCTTTGTCGGACCATTCTCTGTAAACCCTTAAGATGGTTGTGCGTGAAAATCCCAGTAGATCAGCAGTTTCTGAAATACTCAGCTCAGCCAACAACCATGCCACATTCAAAGTCACTTAAATCCCCTTTCTTCCCCATTCTGATGCTCGCTTTCAACTGCAGCAGATTGTCTTGATCATGTGTGCATGCCTGAATGCATTAAGTTACTGCCATGGCTGATCAAACATTTGCGTTGACGTGCAGTTGGACAGGTGTACCTATTAAAGTGGCCGGTGAGTGTATATTTAACTCTATATTATCAAAACAAAGCATTCATCCTTAATAAAAGTCGAGGACATCTGGGACAAAAGCTCTGTCCCGCTGAGCTGAATCACGTGTGTCCACACGCTCACTCATATCATATCGGCATTTATGCTAACGACGACTAGCGCCGGAGGCATATTTACACAAAGCGCACACTTCCACATCAGACGCCTGCTGGGATCTCCACATAACAGATGTTTACAAAGCTCTTCCTGCTACATGATGCATAATTCAGTAGCAAAAAGGAATAAACTGCCTCGCAGGAACATGCCAGGGATATGCAGCAAATCATATGCAGATTAAATGATTTCATACATAAGTGCTGCAAAATGCGCGCCGCGTGAAGCCTGTTGTTTCATCCATTTTGTTTATTACAGATTTATAATAAATGGGTCATTTTCAAAACAATAATGTAAGAAGAACTGAACCAGTTCATTTAATAATAACAGCTATTAGTGTTTGTGAGTATACATTTAATTTGAAACTCATACACAAACCTAATGTAGCATATTTATTGTTTTTTTTATTATTACAATATACCATCTGTATATTTGGTACTATTGGCTGTCCATAAAGAGATTCTTAGCTCAAATGTATAAGAAAACCTAAAAAATACACTTTGAGGGCCCTATCATACACCCGGCGCAGTGTGGCGCAAGGCGTGACGCAGTAGTCTTTTGGTAGTTTCAGCTTGGCGCAAGAGACGTTTTGAGGCGTTGCGCTACGCTGTTTAAATAGCAAATGCATTAGCGCTCATTTGTGCGCCCATAGGCGTTCTGGTCTAAAAAGGAAGGCGTTCTGAGTCGGACCGCTGGTGCGTTGCTATTTTGAGAATCTATAATTGATTTTTTATTAGACCAAAACAAACCCGGTCTAAACTCCGGCGCAGAGTTGCGCCTCGCTTACACACTGCTTAATACACACAAGAGAGCAATAGGCAAATATCTTTACATATGAAAAAAATTTAAATATTAAGGATATAGTATATAATAAGAATAGATATAGGATATAAAGGATTAAAATATTACAAAACATATTATTTTCTAGCCTACATAAATATGAAAAACCACTGCTTTCATGTCTTCTTCATCTCGGGAGGCTTTTTCAGTTCATTCATAACAATTTGCTTTTGTTAAATGTTATTATTATTAGCAGTATTATTTATTATATCCATATTTATATTTGTTTTATTAAAAACAAGCTTAGATTTGCCCACCTGTCAGGTTTTAGACCATATGGGGCATGGCAGGTGTATTAGGATATAACTCAGGTTTTTGAGCACACTTTGTTAATATTGTTCATTTATTCGTTTGCTGGAAATTAGAACTGAATTTAGAAATAGTTTTGAAACGAATATTTGCGCTAAAAAAAAGTATTTATTTATAGACTAATTGATGTCTGTGCGTAAAGGTTTCCCTATCCAAGAGCGAAAGTGAAAGTAGATCCATTATCTCTCATTCTCACGCAGTTGATGCTCTGTTTAACAGTTTTCTGTTAAAAAACTGTTAACTGTTTGCTTGTGAAATGCTCAGTTTTTCCACTTAGACTTACTTTGCGTCCTGTAAATAGCGAATGCGCTCTTGGCGCGACGCAGCTGGCTCTTAAAGGGAATGGGAGATGAGACTCTAATTGGTTTATTCTGAAAACACACCTATAACTCATTAAGAAAATAAACTCAACCCTTTTAGAACATGCGCCTTGGCGCAAGGCAGATTTCTCGTCCTTAAATTAGCAAAAACGCGTCCTGACACGCCCTGAAAGCGTTTGCGCCCTGCGTTTTGCGCTCTGCGCATGGACCGTCAAAATAGAGCCCTGAGTGTTTATATTGTCGGTACGCTTTTATGAACGCTTCCACTGTCAAAAGGTGTACCATACCGTACCGTACCACTTTTTCGGCACCCTTTCAAAAGGGTACCAAACATGAGAAAGGGTACTAAAAGGCAGAGCTAGGGCCTACTCACACTATGCCATCCGTACCTTGCCCAGGCCCGTTTCCCGGATCGTTTGAGAAGTGTGAGTGCACTGAATTGGGCTCAAGCACGGTTCACAAGGCCGGCCCTGGCCCGGTTGGAGGTGTAAGAGGTGTGCCAGAGCGCGGTTCACTTGGGCTTTGGCGTGGTACGCTTGTAGTGTGAATGCAAAATGCGCCAAAGCCCGAAACTGAAAGCGAGACGTGACTTTTAAGGGGTTGTTTCATATGGATTTATTAATCATTCTTACTGTTCAGTGAACGCAAACTGCCGTAGTTTATTAAAGACGTAAACCCCTCACTGCACGACAGCTGCACCTTCAGCAAACCTCATTCCTGCAGCACGAGGGCTTTATGATTGTTTATGAGCGCCAAAAGTGGTTGATCTGTTCGGCGAAATATGTTGGTTAAAAAAATCTATTTCACAAAACTTCTACACAATCTAAAACAAGATTTCAATTTTTTTGTGCTAGAAATGTATGCAAATTAGACTATATTAATTGAAGAAAGCCTTATTTGCATATTTAAGCAACATTTTAGAAAAAAACTATATTTAAATGTTAGTTTATATTTATGTATTCATTGTACATAAATGTATATATTCGTTAGAGAATGCCTCATTTGCATATTCAAGTAACATTTTAGAAAACCGGTCATTTTAAAAAGTATACATTAATTCATGTATTCATATTTTTATTGTACATAAATGCATCTCTTCAAGATTAATGCCTCATTTGCATATGTGAGCCACATTTTAGAAAAAAGAGGGGAAAGTGTGGAATTAAAAAAATGTATATATTCATTCAAATATTTATTGTCAATAAATGCATATATTTATTGAATAATGCCTCATTTGCATATTTAAGCAACATTTAAAAAATGTTGACTTTAAAAATGTACATATTCATTCAGAAATTCTTTGTTATCAATCCATTGTATATAATCATTAAAGAATGCCTCGTTTGCATATTTAGGCAACGCTTTTGGAAAACTACTAATCCAAAAAGGTGGAAGTTTAAAATGCATATATTCACTCATAAATCCATTGTACATAAACGTATATATTTATTAAAGAAGGCCTAATTTGCATATTTAAGCAACATTTTAGAAAACCTGTCATCTTAAAATGTATATATTCACTTATGTATTCATATATTTATTGTACATAAACTTACATATTCGTTAAATTATGACGTTTGCATAATTAAGCAACATTTTAGAAAACAAGAATAAAAAAGATACATTTAAAATGTATATACTCATAAAGGAATGCATAATTTGCACATTCAAGCATATTTATACAAAATAAGAAACAATGTGGACTTAAAACATTTATATATTCATTCAAATATTTAATGTATATAAATGTACATGTTCATTAAATAATGCCTCATTTGCATATTCAGAAATTTTTTTTAAACCTGTCATTTTAGAATGTATATATTCATTCAAGTATATGCATATATTCATTAAAAAATGCCTCAGTTGCATATATATATATATATATATATATATATATATATATATATATATATATATATATATATATATATATATATATATATATATATATATACATACATATATATATGGAGTAAATATATATGTGGAGTGTGTGGAGTTTAAAAATGTATATATTCATTTGTATATTCATTGTCAATAAATGCATATATGGATTAAACAATGCCTCATTTGCATATGTAAGCAACATTTTAGAAAATGTGTTGGCCACATTTCCATATTTAAGGAACATTTTAGAAAAAAAGTAGAACATTTGTCTTATTCACAAATTTACATATTCATTTATGAATTAATTGTACATAAATGTATATATTCATTAAAAATGGCTCATTTGCATATTCGAGGAACATTTATAAAAAATAAGAAACAATGTGGATTTAAAACATTTAAATATTCATTCATATATTCAATGTATATAAATGTATTTGCTCATTAAATAATGCCTCATTTGCATATTTAGGAAACGATTTAGAAAACCTGTCATTTTAAAATGTATATACTCATTCAAATATTCATATATTCATTATATATAAATTCACATATCCATTAAAGAATGCCTCATTTGCATATGTAAACAACATTTTAGAAAATGTGTTGGCCACATTTCCAAATTTAAGGAACATTTTAGAAAAAAAGAAGAACATTTGACATATTCACAAATTTACATATTCATTTATAAATTAATTGTTCATATATGTATATATTCATTAAAGAATGGCTCATTTGCATATTCGAGGAACATTTATAAAAAATAAGAAACAATGTGGAATTAAAACATTTAAATATTCATTCATATATTCAATGTATATAAATGTATATGCTCATTAAATAATGCCTTTATTTGCATATTTAGGAAACAATTTAGAAAACCTGTGATTTTAAAATGTATTTATTCATTCAAGTATACATTTATTCATTAAATATAAATGCATATATTAATAATTAAAAATGCCTCATTTACACATGTAAGCAACATTTTAGAAAAAAGGGAAAATGTGGAATCGAAAAATTTATATAATTATTGACAATAAATGCATATATTCATTAAATAATGCCTCATTTGCATATTTAAGGAACATTTTGGAAAAAAAGAAGAACATTTGACATATTCACGAATTTCCAAATTTACCTATTCATTCATAAATTAATTGTATTTAAATGTATATATTGATTAAAGAATGCCTCATTTGCATATTCAAGCAACATTTTAGAAAACCTGTCATTTTAAAATGTATATATTCACTCACGTATTCATATATACATTGTCAAAAATGTTATATTCAATAAATAATGCCTCATTTGCATATTCAAGCAACATTTTAGAAAACCTGTAATTTTAAAATGTATATCTTCACTCATTTATTCATATATTCACTGTCAAAAAATGTGTATATTCAATAAATAATTGACTCTTCCCCCCCCGCCCCCCCCCACCCCCCCCCCCCCCCCCACTGACCTGCAATGTCTTGCCTAAACAAAAATGTATATATTTGTTTAGATGACTGCAGTTTTATGAGACACTGTGTAACAAATGTAGCACATTAAGCGTCCCGCTGCAGGACAATCAGTGTTTCCTGCTCCCGCTGTGCTGCAAACGGCTGCAGGTCAGTGTAGTTTATGAAACATCATCAGTAATGTCCACATCTCTGCGGCAGGATCATTTCATTGCTAATGTCTGTGCGCTTTATGACTTTTACCACATTTCATGAAGACACACACATTGGCTTGAGGTTTTTTTTCATGGGTCATTTCCTCACAATGTCCATGTGCGGCTTTCTGACACACAACACAATATCTACAATTGAAATCTAAATGTCACAGGCCTCCTGTGAATATCTTTTTTCTCAAATATTTCTCAAATGATGTTGAACAGATTCAGGAATTTTTCACAGTATTTCCTATAATATTTTTTCTTATTATTTAATAATAATAATAATAATAATAACAATAATAATAATAATAATAATAATTATAATAATAATAACAATAATAATAATAATAATAGTAATAATAATAATAATAATAATAGTAATAATAATAATAATAATAGTAATAATAATAATAATAGTAATAATAATAATAATAATAGTAATAATAATAATAGTAATAATAATAGTAATAATAGTAATAATAATAGTAATAATAGTAATAATAATAATAATAATGTATTTTATTTAAAGGCACCTTTCATGACACGCAAGGTACAGGACAGCTAGAACAATCAGTTCAAATAAAAACACAATAAAAGCCAATAGAATACAATACAAACTTTAAAGATGCGGTCAGGTTAAAGAGAATAAGCTGTTCTGAACAGATGTGTTTTGAGTTTGGATTTAAATTGTAAAAGAGAGTCTAAGTTATGGAGATCAGTAGGAAGTGAATTCCAAAGCTGAGAAGCAGAGTGGCTGAGCATGGTCTAACAGGGTTGAGCTTATTTTTTTAATGAGTTATAGGTGTGTTTTGAGAATAAACCAATCCGAGTCTCATCTCCCATTCCCTTTAAGGCCGTACTCACACTAGGTACAGTTGCCTCGAACCGGGCCAAAGCACGCTTGTGCCCCCTCCCGTCTCCCCCGACGGCCCGCGCTCACACCACAAATGGGCTTCGGCACGCTTACGTCATCGCTGCTGCGCTGTTCAGTGAGAAGCGCTCTCACTCAGCAGCACGGTGGAGATTTCTCTAGTTAAATCGTTTCAGTCGTTTGATATGCCGTCAAATATTTCGCCAAACAGTCCTAAGAGATGCGGGTTAGATATTTCGCCGAACAGATCCGCCACTTTTAGCCTCCTTAAGCAATGTGAATAAACGATAACGGCACACTTACAGTGAGTTGAGAGAGCGCAGACCGTGAAAGGCATCAGGAGCTATTTCTGATATCTGGTTATTACTCAAATCGCTGAGGAGAAAAACACACAATTATGAACAAATGAAAAACACAATGATCCTTATTAGAAGAGAAAACAAACATCTGGTTCATAACAAATAGAGTAGATTCTGAATAAATGATCGCCAGCTACTGCTTAAAGATATAGTTCACCCAAACATTTAAATGTTCAGTTAATTTACAGGCCACTGGAGACGTAGGCGACGTAGATGAAGACATAGTTTTTAATTAGAACATTAAAGTCCTTGTGAAATCAAAGTTTACCATGTTTATTTTGCTAGCACACTTGATTTTAATTATTTTGCTGACACCCTAACACCCAACTAGCATGTCATTAGTATGGTTCTAGCATGAATTAGCATGTTGCTAGCATGTTTCTAGTATAAACTAGCATGCTCTTAGCTTGAATTTAGTTTGAATTAGTATGTTTCTAGTATGAATTAGCATGCTGCTAGTAAGATAAGTATGTTTGTATGTCATTAGCATGTTCCTAGTGTGGATCAGTGTATTGTTAGTATGGATTGGTATTCAATGTAAAGTCAACGGCAGTTTTTTTACAATGGAAGTGTATGGGACAGTTGCTAGGGTGCTGTAAGTGGTTGCTAGGGTGTGGCTAGTAAGTTTAAAGGTCATCAGTGATTGGCAGATTGATAGTCTGAGAGAAATAAGCCCAACTTTAAGTCTGTATGACAGTCTGGCTCAAAGTTATGAGGCCACAAAATTTGGTCCAATGTTAAGTCAATGAGACTTTTCTGAACTTTCCGGCTTAGTTTTGAGGAAACTGTAAGTCAGATCAGTTGGAAACGATATAGTAACTTAATTCAGTATAGTCTAGAGGTTTGGTTTGATGGTTGTAGTGTGAACGGTCTAGGAGGAGATGCGTTCTTAAAATAGTCTAAGAGGAAGAAGACGTAAGAATTATAAGTTTATGCAGTATAAAAGTATGTTGACTTTCTCAAGCCACCATAATAAAAGTATCAGCAACTTTCGCTTCACACACACCTGACTTTAAAGTGTTACCTTTACAAAAAAAAAAAAAAAACCTCAAGAATTGTGTTGTTTCAGCTCATTTTAAATAAGAAGTTTGAACAAGCAGTAACATAATTATCTTTGAGTGTATAAATAAGCAGCAAAATAGCGGTTTATTTAGCTAAAAGTTTATTTTAATGGTTAATTGTACATTAGAATAAGGTGTGATCCTCTTCTTTAATGCTCTAATGAGGTAAAAAGACTTCTTGAGTGCCCTGATTGTTATAAAATGAGCTATACATATTCAGTTTTGGGTGAACTGTCCCTTTAAACCTACAGTTATGTGTGGTGCTATTTGGTGATTGTGTTTTGCTATCCTCACTCACATTCTCCGCAGTCTCTTGTAAGAGGAAAACGCTCCCGGAGGTACAGATTTGATGCCGTTCTGCTCCAGTCGTCTGGAAAACAGAGAAACATTTGTAGTTTAGCAGAGCTGCTAGTAGAGTCTATATTATTGCTTTATTACTAGAGGCACATGGTTAAAAACACAGATGTCTGCAGATTTTTGAGCCCAGCACTCAATCGATTTATTTACAATACTTATGTACAGTTGAAGTCAGAGTTTTTCGCCCTCCTGTGAAATTGGATAATATTTGACTATTTTGCAAGACACTAGCATTCAGCTTAAAGTGTCTCGAAACCAGTGGCGTAGCGCAAAATGCAGAGGCCCCCCTGCAGGGATCGCTGACGGGCCCCCTGATAAAGGGGGGGGGGGGGGGAGATATGTCATACGTCAATTTGCATATGACTGGCGTCATCACGTTCTACCGTTTCTGTTTAACAGCCTATGGTTAATAAAGGGGTATTTATAATTGCACTACACTTTATATAAGCATGTTTATTTAACTAAATGTATTGCTGTTTGAATACAGTATGTTATTATAGATGTGTAGTGAATGTGCAGTAATCTCTCATATGTAATAAACTCAGACAAGTTCAGAAACTGTCACTAATATCTGTGATTGTGAACAAGAAAAGAATAAACGGTCCAATTAAATTGTTCAAATAAAGTAGAAGTAGATCGGTTTGACTGTACAAGGGAAATACCTTCACACTGCCTGTGCTAAATTATTTGTCGTCGGTACGCAGAGGGGTGATCTGCTCTCGGGCTGCAGGTGGGAGAGGCTGCTGTATGAGGACTGACTGGACCGCCTGTCAGTGCTGTGAGGCGGGGGAGGGGCCGGCGGCATCACACGCAGCTCGTTGAGAAGAGTAGGGACGGTACAGTATGGACAAATGACAGTCTAAAAAAAATCTCCAATAACACACAAAAAAAGTCGCTAGATTTGTCGCTAAGGGGGTCTGAAAAGTTGCTAAATTTAGTGACAAATTCGCTAAGTTGGCAACATTGTCGGCAAGCAATCAGAATGAAGTAGTCCACCGCTTGAGAGGTGTTCAGAGAACACAGACGTGTGAACTTTGGTTCCAACCACAGTTGTTCCCAAGAGTTTGATTATTGCGTTCGCCGGTGGATTTTAAATTATTGAAAATCACGACGACGTGGGGCCCCCTAATCATGCGGGGCCCCCCCGCGGTGCGTGCCCTGCGGGCCCGTCCGCTACGCCACTGCTCGAAACACCAAAACACATAAGAAGTTTGTTGCAACGATCTTGATGAAATCCGTTACCTCAGAGATTTTTCCATCTCAGGGACACCATTAAGGTAAATTACAGAAGGACTTTCATGCAAGTGGCCACAGGTGGTGCTTGTAAATGACGTCACTTGCAGAGGAAGCTTTTCATCTCGTTTTACGCATGAACAACTAAATGAATGCTTAGGTCTGTTTAACTGACTACATTTTGATTAAATCACCCTATCGATGTTGTAAACAGTAAATTATGAAAATGGTCACATCTTCTGACGTTTTCAGTGGCTGAAAAACACATGTAGCCTATTCGTAAAATAACGCTTTGTGTGTTAAAATAAACACTGCAAACATGGTTTCATCCCTACAGCATGCAAAAGCAACTCCAACACTGATTCAGGTTTGTACAAATCTACATTTGTTGACGGACAGTTTTGACTACCTATTGTAATTTTTAGCCAGAAATTTTTAATTGGATGAACATTTTTTAGTCCTATTCTCTACCAAGAAAATAAAAATACATATAAATACTAAGGGTGTAACGATACACGTATTCGTATTGAACCGTTCGGTACGAGACTTTTGGTTCGGTGCACATAACAAACCGAACGATTCAGACTAATATCTAAGAAGATAAAAGAGAATAAGTATACAAAATATAATGTTTTCATTGCAACAACGTTCAACAAGGCATCTCAAATGACGTGACAAGCTTCCCCGCCCACCTTCAAACACTACTCCAGTCAGGCACAGGCTGCCTTAGCTCTCGATAACGTTAATGTAATCCTCCTATAACCAACAGTGGATCTGGCATTTGGAAACACTTTGGTTTGGGTACATTTATAGCTGTAAATATGAGACAGGGCTCGAAATTGCGACTGTTTTGGTTGCATATGCGCCCGAAATATTATCTATGCGATGTCAAAATATATTTGGGGAGTGCATAAAATTGATATTGTGCGACCAGTTTTCACAGCAAAATGTTCACCACGTGCACGGAATTAGGAGGCATTCACATATTAACCTAAAAATGCCAAACGCAGTGCATCAGGAATGGGTTAAAACATTTGACATGTCAACTTGCAGTAAACAAAGCCCGCAATGCTTCCCCCATCTTCAAGCTCTTCTTATTGGCCCACTGCGCTAGAACAGAACGCGAATAGATTGGTTAATATCAGCTGTCAATCACTCAGTTCCAATGACAGGGAGCTACAGCCGTGAAAACTTAAAGGTCTGGATACAAGAGAATAAAAACAACACTGACAAATTTAGTTTTAGAAACCACCTAAAGTTACAAATAATGGCACATCTGATTAATGATCATGTAATGAATGTCAATCCAGCATTTACGCTTTTCCAAGAGTGGTTAAAAGACTTCCAGTGTTTAAAGCCCCCTGTGAAAATGACTAAAGCCATTCACTGTAAAGCTGGTGGGATGGAGTTTTCAGGTAACAGTGTTTGTCACTGAATCTACACATTTTAAGCAGGAGATGTTCTAACAATATTTAATCCTTCATTTAATCGTCATGATGCTATCAATGGTGTGATTGATACCGCGTTCACCATCGCTAAAGAGGATGCATTCACTTAGATGAAACTAATATTGCAGCTCATGAAAAGACTGTTACTGCTATCAAGATGACGTATGCAAATAATAACCTATATGTCAATATCATCTGTGCAATATCAGACACCACCCGTGAGAACACAGCAGTATTATTCAACCCAAGCTCATTTTGAAAACCTAGCCACACTGACGTTTCTAGAGACCGTGATTTACGTGGCCGGAGGTACATATGGCCGCATTTGGTTTTTTCGAGCGAACACTGCGGGGCGGTGTGACGCCGCTCCTCTTCTTCGCGCTTGCCGGCTGCAACGGCTCACTCACCTCTGTGTGGAGGGCTTTGCCGATGCAACCAGTTTGCCCGCTTAGCTCATGGTGTTACATCGGCGGAGCGGAGGCCCGGAGGAGGAGCCAACCACGGCGACGTTCGGGTCCGGGGAAGAGCGGTTCCAGAAATCAGGTAAGATGAAAAACACAATCCAAAAAATTTAAAGCGAACGAGTTCATAACTGGGCGCGAATGCGGCAAATCCGCAAACTCTGTCAAAATCGGAAGAGGGCTTTTGCTTTTCTTTTCTAGACGGCTTTTATAAATTGTCACTTGGGTTTAGGGAAGGAGGAGGAGGGCGGCTGGGTCAGCCGGACAGACGGTCGCTCGACAGCGGCCTCCGGCGGCTTTTCGCGTGAGAACATCGCGGGCGGGAACGACGCAAAAAAGCGAGGCACAGCGGCCTCTCGCGGATTCGCGAAAACAAATACTGCACAAATACGTACCTCCCGGGACGTATTTCGCAGTCTCCAGAAACAACTGCGGGGCTACGTTTCCACAATGAGCCTGGGTTGGTTTTATTGTTAACTAATAATAGGGCCGGTAAATTAAAATCAGAGAAATCCTCTGTCTTTTTTTCTTTTTTTGCCGTATCGAAAACATACTAAAGCGTGACACCACTGTGTCGCATCAAACTGAACCGTGATTTTTGTGAACTGTTACATCCCCAATAATTACATTTACTTTAATCCTTACTATCACAGCAATAAATGTTTCTAAAGAGAATTACCTACTGCACCTTTAACTAGGTTATATAGTTAAAATAGGTTAATTAGAGTTAAATTAACAAAAAATTAGGCAAGTTATTATATAATAATATTTTTTTCTGTAGATTATTGAGAAAAAATATATCTTAAATTTTGTCTTTAAAATGGTGTTAAAAAATTAATAACTGCTTTTATTCTAGCCGAAATAAAACAAACAAGACTTTTTCCATAAGAAAAAATATTATCAGACAATCTGTGAAAATTTCCTTGCTCTGTTAAACATCATTTGGAAAATATTTTAAAAAGGAGAACAAATTTTGAAGGGAGCTAATAATTCTGACTTTAACTGTATATATAAACATATATATAGTTATACACTAATATGAATATATACAAACACTCACATCTCAGTCATACTCTCGGGCATGTTTGCTGGAATTGCCGTCAGACCTTTTCCTCGACAGTCCACAATATTGTTGGTGCAGGAGCACATGGGCGGACAAGAGCCGGACGCAAGACCACACGGCTGAGGACTGGAGTCCAGAGCACCTCAGGGAGGAAAATACAACATTGTAATGAGGTGTGGTTGGATTCAAATGCCAGAGTCAGGCAGGCAAAGGTCAAAACAGGTGCAAGTGGTAACATGAAGGTAATCCAAAAGAGAAATGGAAGTCACAGGCAAAGAGGTCGAGGCAGGCAGCAAAGCAACATAAACAGTGAACAGACAAACCAAGGTCAAAAACATGGCTAGGAACAACAGGGAAATGCTTTGTGAAGATCACTGCAGATGTCTCTGTGTGTGCTGTATTAATAATCAGAGTCTTCACGAGCTTCAGCTGTGTGTGTGTAATAAACAGGTGATCTGGAACTGATGTGTGAGTGCAGTGTATGATGGGATTTGTAGTTCAGTTGAATGACAGGGACTGCTCTCTAGCAACCTACAAGGGTTACACTGCTAGTGATCATAACAAACATCTTATATTACTTATATATTGGGGGGGGGGGGTATATAGAGGGAAAAATAATTCAGGAGGGCTAATAATTCAATTGTATGTCGGTTGTATATCATTCTAGCTTAAGCACAAGGACAAATGTTTTAAATGAACCGTTTTCCATTTTAAAAGTATTTTTTTAATTAGGAAAAGTAAAGTAAATGTACAAATAAAAAGTGAAAAGTGCGCAGGTGTACCAGCGCAGGTGAAGTCCTTCTTCTGCAGCTCTGCCAGGTTAAGTCCGTGCAGGTGCGCTGGAGAACTGCACTGGGTGTAAAGACCGAGCGCTGGCCTCTGCCGGAGCCACTGAGAGAGCCACGACAGGTGACAGTCACAGCGCAGAGAGTTCCAGTGCAGACGGCTGACAACACACACACACACACATGAAAACTCCACAAACACTCCAGGATTCTGATGCAATCCTCAATGAAACAAACAAAACTTTACAATAAACAGGGCTCCCACGTTTTTATGAACAGCAAATTCAAGGACTTGTAGCACAATGAAAATCCTCACTGTACTTAACATTTCACTTACACTTAAAGGGTCACGAAACACTAAAATTCAATTCAACTTAACTCAACTCAATTCACTTCAATTAAATTTAATTTAATTTAATTTAATTTAATTTAATTTAATTTAATTTAATTTAATTTAATTTAATTTAATTTAATTTAATTTAATTTATTTTAATTTAATTTAATTTAATTTAATTTAATTTAATTTAATTTAATTTAATTTAAAATAAATAGTGCAGAGCTGCGGCAAAATAATGAATAAAAAGAGTGAGGCTATTGTCAAATAAATAAATAAATGAAAAAAGTGTGACTGCTGAGAGTGCAAGCAGTTAGGGACTCTGGCCCTCGCAGCCAGGAAAAAGGACTGGCGCACCGGGAATTCTCCCAGTCATCCCGATTAGCCAATCCGGGCCTGGTTGTGTATGATTTTTGCCATATTTTGTGACGGGATAGTCTATACACACACACACGGCTTTATGGCGCTACCAACCAAGTGCATCTAAGTTACACAGAAATGCAGAGTTTTTTTTCTCCCATTTACCGTGCGTATTTCACAAACTAACTGACTAATTTTTATTTTGTATTTTTATATTATTATTATTATCATCATCATTATCATTATTATTATTATTATAATTATTATTATAATTGTTATTATTATTAATAATATCATTATCATTATTATTATTATAATAATTATTATTATTATTATAAATTTTATTATTATTATTATTATTATTATTATTATTACCATTATCATTATCATTATTAAAATTATTATTATCATTATTTTATTATTATTATTTTATCATTATTATTATCACTATTATTATTATTATTATTATCTTAATATTATTATTATCATTATTATCATTATCATTATTATTATTATTATTAAAAGTATTATTATCATCATTATCATAATTATTATTATTATCATCATCATTATTATTATTATTATTATTATCTTATTATTATTATCTTATTATTATCATTATTATTATTATAATTAATATTATTATTATCATTATTATTATTATTAATATTAATATTATTATCTTATTATTATTATTATTATTATTATTATCTTATTATTATCTTATTATTTTCATTATTATTATTATTATTATTATTATTATTATCTTATTATTATTATTATTACTATTATTATTATTATCATTATCATTATTATTATTATTAGTAGTAGTAGTAGTAGTAGTAATAGTAGTAGTATTAAAAACGAACAAAATAAATCTGTCCATTTGTTACTAAAAAAAAATCAGCAATCAGAATCATCATGAAAATGAAGATCAGCGCATCACTAGAAGAAATGTAACAAAAAATGGATCAGGACTTACAATGTTCGTAATTTGGGCATGTGGTTAAAACTGGAAATGGGGATTGCACTGATGTTGTTGTTGTTCAGAGTGCTGTGGAGAAGAACCAGCAGAAAAAAAAAATCATGTTGTATATAGGCCAATAAAATCCATATACACTGCAAGTGTACTGTACGAGCAATAAATAATGCATATTTTAATAAATTACTAATTTACATGCATGAACACAGAAACAGTGAGTACATACAGGACCTCCAGGACCCTCATGGCTCGAAACGCTCCGTCTTCAATGCAGCTGATGTGGTTTTTATCCAGCTGTCTGAGATCGGACACAATGCTTGGATCATTCATTCATTCATTGATTCATTCAATCATTTCCAACTATTACGACATGTTTTACGCAGTGGATGCCTTTCCAGCTGCAACCCAGTATTGAGAAACACCCATACACTCTCAAATTCACACACACTCATACTCTATGGCCAATTTAGTTTATAAATTGCCCTTTAGCGCCTTTGTTAGTTCGTTGGATCACACTTAAAACCGGAGCACCCGAAGGAAACCCACGCCAACACAGGGAGAACATGCAAACTCACCCAGCCGTGAACCAGCGACCTTCTTGCTGTGAAGTGACAGTGCTAACCACGAAGGTCTTCCTCTTGTCACATTTGATTAATTTGTGTGTGTATTTTAGAGCACATTTGATCTAAATTAGATTTATATAAATCCCCATTCCAGCACCAAACTGCACATATTTATTCATATCTGTATTCTGAAGGGTTTTACTAAAGGATTTGCAATTTAACAATACACAATTTGGCTGATTATCTACATTTTATTCTACAAAAAAATAGATTTATTTTCTAGCTGTATATTTTCTGATTATTATAGGCTGATAAAAAGAGATTCCCACTTTTACTGTCAAAATTCATTTAAAATAAAAACGTTTTTTTTTGTGCTTTTAATGCATATAATTGGCATATATCTATTAAAATTAGGCCTAATTTGAATATTAGAACTTGAAATTAGAAATGTCAACTGACCCAGCTGAGGCTCAAATCAGTGACCTTGCTGTGAGGCGATCGTGCTACCCACTGAGCCATGTTATAATATACAATTTTACAAGGCCACATTCGCTTATTTTTTAATCCAATTCACCCATTTTAAACCCATTTCAATCCAATTGGTCAATTTAAAATGAAAAATTAAATGTTTAATGAAATGAAAGTGTAACTCACAGGTTTTTGATGTCTGTAGCTCCTCTGAATGCTCTTCTTGGGATCATCTGGATGTTATTTTCACTCAAATCCCTGATTAAAGAGTTTATAGGTTTATTAAGAGAGTTCAATCCATGCACAACCCATCAAAATGTAAAACATCATTCCCAATCAAACATCCCAATGTCTTATAGACTAGTGGACGAATCTTAATTATGTCTCAAATAATTACTTCAGATAAATACAAGTAAACACCCAGAAAGAGTATAGAACTAAACAATTATTTTTGTCTTTTTTGATGCCTTGATTCTGTACAATATTCAAAACTTTGCAGTAAAGATTTTTCTTAAGTAATTATTTAAATTAATTAGATTAGCAATAAAATCTCTCATTTACTTAAAGGTTGGCATGAGATCAGTTTTAGTTATAGTTATTTCCCCTGGAATGTCTTACGCATGTATTACACTCAAATATACAGGCCAGATTGACCCTTTTTATCATTTATGTTGATTATTTTGAACCTAGCATTTGCACTATTACAGTATATTGAAAGAAACCGCATTTATTAACTCTATTATTAACAACATTGTTAGCCCTTACCTGTTTTATTTGAGGTGGTCCTGTTATACTTATAATCTGAGCTTATATAATTAAATATTAAACAACCAATCAATCAATTAATTTGTTTTTAATAGATATTATTATGTATGTATGTATTTAATTTATATTTATTAATGAAAATAAAAATTAACAATGTTAAAAAAATCTTAAAGGTAAAAAAGACAATTGTGTTCACATTTATGTCTCAGATGTTAGTGACAGAGATGTGCTCTTTGCAGATATTTGATCAATCAGTCATATTAGATTAGATTAGATTGGATTGGATTAAATAAATCAATCAATCAATTAGGCAACCAATCAATCATCCAGTTAATCAGTCCATCAATCAACCAACCAACTAATCTACCAACTAACCAAGCACCAATCAATCAACCATCCAACCAACCAGTCAACCAATCAACTATCCAACTAGTCAACCCATCAACCAACCAACTTGCTAATCAATTTATTAATCAATAAATAAGGGAAACAATCAATCAGCCAGTCAGTTAATTAGTCAACCAACCAAACAACCAACCGAGCATCAATCAATATCAATCAATCAATCAATCAATCAATCAATCAATCAATCAATCAATCAATCAATCAATCAATCAATCAATCAATCAATCAATCAATCAATCAATCAACAAGCCAGTCAAACAATTAACCAATCAACCAATTAACCGAACGACTAATCAACAAATCAACTAATCAATCAATTAATTAACCAACCAATCAACTAATTAACTAACAAGCCAGTCAACCAATTAACCAATCAACCAATTAACCAACCAACTAGTCAGCTAATCAATTATTCAATCAACCAATCAATTAATTAAGCAATCAATCAGGCAAAAAATGAATCAGCCAGTTAATCAGTCAATCAGTCAACCTATCAACCAATCAACCAACCAATCAGCCAATCAATCAATCAATCAACCAACCAATTAACTAGCCAACCAAGCACCAATCAATCAATCAATCAATCAATTAACCAATCAACCAACCAACCAATTTATTAATCAATAAATCAGGTAACCAATCAATCAGCCAGTTGGTCAGTCATTCAGTCAACAGATGAACCAATCAATCTACCAACCAACCAACCAACCAAGCACCAACCAATTAATCAGGCAACCAATCAATCAGCCAGTTAGTCGGTCAATCAGTTAACCAACCAACCAATCAATCCACACTTTAGATAAATGAGAACTCAGACATTTCTAATTGGATTCAGGAGGGAAGCTTTTCTCTACTGGTACTCCATATGTAACGCTTTTTTCTAGCTTTTTTTCAAAAACCATTATGTCTCTTCACTTTTCATTAACAGCTCATACTGTATAAGATACATTTTGTTGAATCTGAGCACAGTTTAGGACATTCCTGAGTAACAGTGGATCTGTGATGACTTTTACACACAAAAATAAAAGCAAATTTCTGATGTGTTGAGAAATAAACCGAGCCTCGAAACGGCAGTCAAATGTTTCATATCTCGTCAAGCAAAACAGCCAGTTAACAAAAGAACATCTGGATTCCTAAATGTCATTACATCTGTGTTTCCCCCTCCACATGTGAAAGCCAGCGCTGACCTTTTCCTAATGCATGTGTTTTTTTACTGAAATTGCAAACTGTAGTTAAGTTCCCGCAATCGGTTCAAGCTCCAGTCAACATCTGATCAAAGTGTTTCCTGGACGCACAAAGAGCTCTGCAAATTAAAGCTCATTTTCTTAGTTTAAAGAGTACAATGCAGTGAAACGCTAAAAGCTAACGGCATGACATTAGCTTGCTCTGCCGCTATTTCCTGTAAAAGCCAATAATACAGACACACAGTACTGAGAAACTGCATTAAGAGAATATGCACTCAAAATCTCAGAATTTTACTGGATTTATTATTTTATTTTTGTTTATTTGATATATTTAACTCGGTGGGTGCTCACTGATCAACACCACAATAAAATACACAATACAATCAATTTTAGCCGTTGTAGCTAACTGTGGCTTATTTACAAAGCCACAGTTAGCTACAACGGCTAAAATTGATAGATAGATAGATAGATAGATAGATAGATAGATAGATAGATAGATAGATAGATAGATAGATAGATAGATAGATAGATAGATAGATAGATAGGTAGGTAGGTAGGTAGGTAGGTAGGTAGGTGATAGATGGATGGATGGATGGATGGATGGATGGATGGATGGATGGATGGATGGATGGATGGATGGATGGATGGATGGGCGGGTGGACGGACGGACAGAAAGACAGACAGACAGACAGACAGACAGACAGACAGACAGACAGACAGACAGTTAGGTAGGTAGGTAGGTGATGGATGGATTGATGGATGGATGGATGGATGGGCGGGCGGACGGACAGAAAGACAGACAGACAGACAGACACACAGACACACAGGTAGGTAGGTAGGTAGGTGATAGATGGATGGATGGATGGATGGATGGATGGATGGATGGATGGATGGATGGATGGGCGGGCGGACGGACAGAAAGACAGACAGACAGACAGACACACAGGTAGGTAGGTAGGTAGGTAGGTAGGTGATAGACAGATAGATAGATAGATAGATAGATAGATAGATAGATAGATAGATAGATAGATAGATAGATAGAGATAGATAGATAGATAGATAGATAGATAGATAGATAGATAGATAGATAGATAGATAGATAGATAGATAGAATGATGTATAGATAGATAGATGGATGGATGGATGGATGGATGGATGGATGGATGGATGGATGGATGGATGGATGGATGGATGGATGGATGGATGGATGGATGGATAGATAGATAGATAGATAGATAGATAGATAGATAGATAGATAGATAGATAGACAGACTAATAATGTTTTTGTCTGAACTAGCAGCAGCAGCTATCATTTATCAGACTAACGTCCCGCATGCCTTATTTGAACAAATGCACCTAATTGGTGGTGATTCTTGACCATTTTTTTACCTAATTTAGTCATTTTGACCCAGATATAGACTCTGTATAGGGGTTTATGGGTTACATTTGCATTCTAGGGTTCACTGACCTCGTTTGTCACTCATGTAAATATAATGAATAATTTCTGCTTCAAAGAGCAAGCAGATTTCACTGTCTGAACGCTGGTTAGGGGTCGACAGAGGAAACTGAAGAGAAAAAAGAAGAGATTCAGAGATTCGATTCAGCTTCAGCTCAAACATTTACTATTCAAGAGTTAAGCCACAGTTATGTGGTCTGTTACTGTATTTTAAAGCTGCACTGTGAAAATTACTGTATATTTTACAGTAAAAACATATTATACAGTAAATCAGGGGTGCCCAAACTTCTTCTTGGGAAGGGCAAAAACACAAACAGGACTGAGGGTGGTGGGCCAAAGCTAAATATACCAAATTGCATTACATGAAGTTGCCATGGTAATTTCCTAATTTAATTATATCAAGAAATATATGACAAATAATTTAATCATATCAATATTTATATATTACATTTTATAATGTACTCTCATTTATAACAAGCTTTTTGGGTTTTTTTTGTAGCTCAGCAATTAAACAAACAAATTAAAAGTTATGTAATACTACAAATGACCATCTCTGTTTCAGGGACTCACCCTAACCTTCCCCATCATTTGTCCTTCTCTTCTCTGATTGGTTGGCGTGCCAAATCAAAGGTTATCATCTGCCAACTTTGGCCCGCGGGCCAAGCATATACACATATACAGCAAGATTTTTTTACAGTAACATTTTTATTTTCACATTTACATCTTGTCTTACTGTAAGTTATGCGGTATGTTACCGTATTTTAAGGTTGCATTGTGAAAATTTTACAGTAAAGATTTACACTTCTGTAAATACATACTGTATGCAGCAAGTTAAATGGTGATGTAACAATAACGTTTTCCGAATAGCATCTGTATTTTACTGTAGGACAGTTGTAGCAAATGTTACCGTAAAGCTGCATTGCTAAAATGGCTGTATATTCTACAGTAAACATATACAATTCTGTACATACACATGCAGTAAGACAAATGGTGCATTAAAAATAACATTTACATATTCGCATTTACATCTGTATTTTACTGTAGGACAGCTATGCGGTATGTTACTGTATTTTAAAGTCTCATTGTGAAAATGGTGGTATATTTTATAGTAAAAGTGTACAATACTGTAAATACATATGCAGCTAGGTTAATGGCGCTGTGAATGTGAATACAGTATTTTTGCTGTAATTGATTTACAGTAAGTTACTGGCGAACTGTTGACGGTAAGTTACTGTAGATTCAACTAATAGTTGTTAACAGTGTAGTTTTAAACACTGAATCAGTGATCCTTCATTCATTCATTCATTTTTCTTTGGCTTATTTATCAGAGACCGCCACAGTGGAATGAACCACCAACTATTCCGAGATATGTTTTACACAGCAGATGCCTATCCAGTCGCAACCCAGTACTCGGAAACACCAATACACTCTCCTATTCACACACACAC